TTGGAGAGACCTCAGTCAGATTGTGGAGTCGGCTCAACTGCACGGTCGGTCCGGTCTCAGCACTAACCCGTCTCTGAGAAGATCAACAGAGGAGAACACTCTCTCTTTACGCTCAGCGGGCTTCCCAAGTGCCTGAGACAACCGTGTATCAGTCTCTTGCCCTTCTCTCCTTGACTCTCGTTCGCCCCGCAATTTAAGGGATTTTGGAACGGGAACTTCCGACCAATCACAACCCTTTTTTATGCCCGAACAGCTTACACTCAGGTCCGCCGTCATCCGACGAGAGGGAAGCTTACACAAACGTCCGCCACTTGTTTACGTTCGTTTGTTTACAATATGGTAAATGTACTACCGTCTGACTGCAGGTAAGTCCAATTAACAAAGCCGGCGCTTCCTTTGTTTACCCTTGTTTACAAGTCAATACCTTACAAATGGTATTACCCGACCGCACATGGGTCCAATTGACAAGGTCGCGCCTCTTTTGTTCCCACTCTGCTAAAAGGTCACTACTTTACAACCGGATTCTACCGAAATTCCTTCTCCTCATCAACCTTTTAGTTCAGAATATCACTTTCATCAGGATTTTTGAATTAAGTATGAAATGCCGGAAATCCCAGAAATCTTAGGCATCGTTGATTTATTTAGAATTTATTACATCCAGAAGAACAAATAGACAGAATTATAAAAACCGGAATTGGAGACACATGGTACAAAAATAGATTCAAATAGAATTTTTATGTAGAATTTTAGTAATGCTTGACGTTATGCATGAATATTTTTCTACTGTTATGCTAACGTAATGAATTTCCAATTGCTTTTGTTATAGATTATGATGGAATAACAGCAAAAACTTATAAAAAAATATTTGCAAATTCGTAATAGAATCGTTGTCTCGTTTAATAAATTCATCTTTTAAGGTTGATACTGATCCGAGTATTTTAAATACAACATAGCATATCCTACACATAAAACGAGCAACTTATATGTTAGTATTATGCCTTATTTCAGTTTTCTCCGTTTTTAGAAAAATTACCAATGAAAACATTCTCATAGTAAAAATAGTAGACGACATGTTTCATATAATGGAGAACAATCCCAAGATGTTGCCAATGTTCGCTAAGATAAGTTGATATCTGTATTGGATAAGTCCTACTTTGTTCTTGAGAAATTTGTCGATCTGTCATCTGAATTTGATTTGGTATATTTCAGAATTTTAACTGAAAACGCCTCTTGTGTAATTCCTTACTTCCTTCAGAAAATTCTCAGGATTCCGTGATTCCGTGAGAACCCAGTTTGAATAACACTGATTTTTAAGCAATTGCATAACTTGTTTTTATATTCTAGTATATTAGGGTTTATTGGGATAATTGTTACTGATTTTGGACGAAAATTTCTCATATCCATATTCATCTCCATAGTCAATTACAGTTACTATAAATCAGTGCAATTTCAATAACTGTTTATTTGATAAGTTATTTGTTATAGTATGAGAATAAATCCATTCTGTAAAAGTTCTTTCCGAAAAAAATAACTTGAGAGATATTATTTAAAACAGAATGTAAGAAGGATACTGATTTGTCAAATTATAATGTTAATACTGTACAATCTAAGCGTAATACGTATTAAATTTCGCAAAAAATTATCATATTGAAGATATTAGAAATTACTTATCCCGATTGTTCCTTTTTCTATTACGACAAAGAAATGTCAAAAGAAATTCCATCTTGAAGCAGTACAAACCAGATGATATTCTTGTCAAATATCTGAAATTAAATGAATGATGTAAATATATATCAAAATTAACGAATTTAATTGTTTATGTGAAAAAATTAAATATTGTTTTCAGAAATAAATAAATGTGTAGTAGATAAAATACAAATGCTAATTCGTTATTCTATTCGTTCCAGAGAAGAAACTGATTTGAGGAAGTCGCTCAATATTATTTTTGAAAGATTTTCTTATATCATAATTCTGAATGTTACGTTATTAACGTTGTCTGATTTAAATGTTACAATTCTATAAGTGATAATATTCATTTTCCTGTTTATTTGACTTTTAATACCGTCAAGTTTTCTGTTTAAAACATGAAAATCACGCTTATGTAACACAACACAATTTTGGTTTCTGTATCGATTAGGTTACAGCATTTATTAAGAAATAACTTACGAGTTAAATTCTTTATGGAAAAGTTAAAGAGATAGTCTCCTTTATTTATCCCCTAAGGCCTATTGATATTCAAACACGAAACATCACTTACGGATACCGGAATGTAACTTCTACGTATATAAAACTCTATTTTTCATACGATATGTTAAAAGAAATAACTGGATCTCTGAATGTATTTCTGCTAATGAAAATTCTCAATTTAAAATCGTTTGAATTTACTTAAGCAAATTTTGCATTTTCTATCGTCCGTTGATTTTCGATTGCAACCCTCGCCTGTCAATAGTTAAGCAATGATATAATATCGAATTTTTTAAAATAAATTAATCACATAACCGCAATTTATTACTAATCGACTGATTTTAATTTCGTCCCTCACTTTCTAAAACTTAAAAAATGTGATTAATATTGAGATATTTTAAATAGATTAATCACATACCTAAATTCATTTCGAATCCTCCAACGTCCCGATTTTCGATTTAAATCAACATCTGCTAATACATTTTGCAACAATAAAATTCTAAAATTAATCATTTAACTAATTATTGCTTCCAATTCGTCCAATGACTGTTGATTTTTCATTTTGTCTTTCGTTTGCTGAAATTCAATTTTAATCACAGACCAAGAAAAGAAGTAATACTTACCTTCTCGAGATATTCCTATTCAAAATAGCGTCGAAGTACAATGTACAAAAGTCGGAATTTCTGGAGAGATTCTATTATTGCACGCCAGTCCAATAATGGAAAAAAGAACAATTGGAAATACTGTTAGATAGATATGACGTCTCGATAAATGTAGCACGCATTATGCCAAAATTTCTACGTCAAAGTATTAAATCACTACTACAAATATCCAATTTTATGTACAATTTTAAAACATTTCCCAGTTTACCATAAAGATTTATTCGAAATAAAAGTACGAATTTAAAACAATTAAATCGATGTCAAATAACTGGCATCTCATAGCAACACGCTATATTATATTGAAAAAGTCACTTTATCCCCCATCCCTTTATATTAAAAAACAATTTTTATCTCCAAATTTAATTCTTATAGCTTTTATTAATATTTTAAATCTTTTAACCTTATTTTTAATCTCTCTATTTCAACCAAAATAACTTATTCTTGCCCGGCTGGATGACCGAGCGGTCAAGGTGGTAGCCTACCGCTCTGGGGGACTCTGGTTCGAAAAATCCCCAGGAATTTTTTGGGTGGTCCGTTCGGATATGTCGGGTCCCGTCCCTCACCACCCGGCAGCCCTATTGTGGGCCTGGCCGGACCCATAATGGGCTTGCAAAAAGAGGCCCTCTTAGTGCTCACAGGGCGAAAAGAGTTTAAAAAAAAAAAAAAACTTATTGTTGCCCAAGATGATTTTCATTGCTGAGCAAAATTTATTTGATAAATCAACATGAAATCTTCCATTTGATGTAAAATTTCAAATATATACAAGCAAATTTCAGTACAAAAATATAAAATATTAGCAATTTGAAAGTTTTTTTAAGCCTGCTTACTTATTGCACTCAATATTAAGAAAGTACCATGATCAAAATATCTTTTTAGTTTGGCCAGGGGTATTCCGTGCTTTGCAAGTCTCGCTTCTGTTAACTTTCAACTTCTGAATCGAACATTTTCCAACAATAAAATAACAATAATAAAGTTCAACAGTGTTATTCTCTGTTGTATTGTTTAATTAATTTTTTAATAATTTTTTAATGTAAATTTTTCTATGCCGAATGGTACACTAGAAAGATTGAGAGTCGTAAGTTACGCCACAAAAAACAAATAACGCTTAATGATACGTGACCTTTAAGTGGGACAATAACAAACCCTATAAATTACATAAAACGAAGTACATTTAATAAATTTGCATTATCTGTAATTTCTTTTATTCCAATTAATATAATTGTAGAAATATTTTGTTTTTAAATTTTATGTAAAACGAACGGTTTGTAAATTACAGGCATATAGAGTAACTGCTACACAAAAAGAAATATAAACAATAATATTTAAAATGCTTTTGAATAGTTATTCCAAGCGAGCTAAAATACAGACATCACCTTTTTTTCTTTATAAATAAATATACATACTATATAGAATGGCTGTAGCAACGCTATGTTTTAAAAAAAAGTGAATACATGTTCACCATTTTCCCTTTAGTCAAGGGGCGTGCCATTAGTGTTGTGTAAAGGCAACGAGCTAGAACATTCTAATTTGTTTAAAAGTGTGCAAAGGACAGGGAGTTTTAACATTTAATTTAATTAATTAATTTAACCCTTTCCGCCCTGTGGGTACTGAGAGCCTCTTTTAGCAAGCCCATTATGGGTTCGGCCAGGCCCACAATGGAGCGACCGGATGGTGAGGAACGGGGACCGACATATCCGATCGGATCACCCCCGAAAAATTCCTGGAGATTTTTCGATCCTGGGTCTCCGAGCGGTACGCTGCCGCTTAGTTACTCGGCCTACCCAATAGTGAGACTAATGATATTTATCACGTCTTAATTATTTGCAATTAACAGAGACCGAAATTAAAACAGCTCTTTATTTCGCCTATTTAACAATGCATTTAGGATTGGTAAATTTCCAATCCCTCTTCAGGCTCACAACTTCAGTGTCTTATTCGTTATGTTGTTGTCTACAACATAACGAATAAATAGTTAGTTCATGCTATTATACTTTTGTTATCCAGAATGATATAGTGCACAATTTGTACACATCAAAATGGTGCAGTTTCTACATATCAGACTCTCTCGCTAACTGGCATGTTTTCTTTGTCTATTTTTGATGGGCAAATGCAACACTTCTTTCATTTCCCACAACTATTAGCTCATTGCCTCTTAGACGGATTTTAATTTCAACAATGTGATTCATAACATGACAAGGATCAAAATATAGTTTTTGTAAATATTTTCACAAGTTGAAATTCAAACTTTCACAAACACAAGAACACTACTTATGTTCTGCAAAAGAAAAAAAAAAAAAAAAAACATCGTCGGAAAGTCAACAACCGTACTGTGTATGGTACGGATCAGACTGATCCGAGTACACTATAAACAAACAATCTCAGGGCTGAGAGTAATGCCCTTCAAGACCTGGCTCGTACTTAGCCCTCAATGTATTTTTATAATCTAAGTATTACACTTACCACTTTAAATTCTGATCTTATCTTCTTTATAATAATTAAAATATATGCTTTCCACCTCAAATTACTATTGGCTTCCCCTGTACATCATACTTTTCCTTTAACAATAGAGTCGTGCCGGTCATCTATCTAACACCTTTCAGGGGAAAATTTCTGAATTAAAATTATAAATATANATAAAAATCTACAGACTCCAACTCCGACTTTTCCTTACCATCCGACTCCGACTCCAACCAGGGGCAGACTTGTTACCGAAAGAGACCCGGAAATTCTGATGTCATCACGTTACCTCAGAATAAAAGATTCAATAAAGTTCTAATAAACATAGAACGTAGAAACTTTTTATTCCAAAGCTATAAGACTCCTCTAAGTAATATATAAACATGTATTCGATAATTTTTGCTTCTCCGGCTGTTATATATAACAGAGGGAAAGTGTAGCGCTCGGTCAAAAAATGACCCCTCCCAAATTTTTAAATTTTTGGACTCAGGACACCTTGAAATTTCGAGATACTGTATACAAAATATTCGAGGTTTTTTTCTATATGTGTGGATGTTAGACTGTGGGAGGGGGCATGATGATGTTCACCCTGTTTGAAGCCTAATAATTTCTGTGGTCAGAGTGGTCAGAATCGGAGTCAGATGGTTTAACACAAGAATTAGTTATTAAGCGTCAAAGTGGTTGAATTAAATGGTGTCCCCATATACATTCTAGCATCTTAGGCGAGAACATCTTAACGGGTTTTACTGTACTATTACAAAATGACAAAAAAAAACTTACTTTGAGGGTAGAGACGAGTTTTATTGTTTTTTTATTATTTTTTTAAATTTGAACGCTAATAACGAGTAAAATATTCATTAAGAGATATGACACATGACCACTTTTATGTCTTCACCCTGTCGACCTTTAATTAAGAACCAAAATTTAATAGTATTAATGCCCCTTATACGCAAGCTACAGTGCCACATTTCGTTTCTTAAACTTTACCTATTCTGAGATATTGTTTAATATCTTAGAACAGAAAATAAAGAAATTAAACAAATTAGACCTCAACACACACACTCGCGCGAATTTTTCCCCTTTTATTGACTTTTTCGAGGGGTTCGGGAGGTCTCCAAACGTGTAGATTTGCAAAAGAAACGTGGAGGGTCAAATCTGGCACGATTCCAATACTTTTCTGTTTTATATACATAAGTTGGGAAGTAAAGAGGAGTCGAAGTCGGCGGATTTTTTGACGACTCCGACTCCGGCTAAAACACCAAAACTCCACGACTCCCACTCCGACCGCACAGCCCTGTTTATATCACTAATTGCCTAAATCTCAAATCGCAAACAAAACAATCTGGATTTAGATGAGAAAAATAGATTCTATAGTGGCAATCCTGCCCAACACGTTGTATAGATTTCAATGCTTTCACTTATTTTAATTAAAGTGGCGGTCGATAGTGCCCGTCGTTGTCACCAAGAGCGCTGTAACCATTGTCACAGCCACTATGTAGTATATTCTGTAAGTTTTGTCGACGTTGAGGGGGAATAAAGTCCATCTCGCGTCAGGATGAGCCTAAGGGAAACCGCGTATGTGGGCGGTGGCGAAGGAGGTAAATGATGTACAAGTGTTTTACAAGATAAAACCCGTTTATTTGTTCGAATTCATGCTTTACATCGATAATGGACAATTCCAAAATCTCGGTGCTCCTGGGAACGGCGAAAGTTCGGGTGATCGGTCGCAGTTCGGGCGGACGAGAAGGATATCTGGACGAAGCAGAAGTTCGTTGTTACGTTGCGGCGTCCTCGGTGATCGGCGGTTGCACAACACAATCTAAATCACCACTGTAGGCTTAATCCAGAGGAGACTCTTTCGACCTTGAAGTTCCGATTTTTATAGTTTTTCCCCCACTGTTCGCATTTCTGATTGGTCCCTCGTTCCATTCCACGCTTCCCGATTGGTCTCTCCTTTGTCTCCAGGTGCAAGATGAAACTTTTTCGGGTCGCGGGAAAAGTCCGATTCGAGGTGTCCATCTGATACCTCTTTGTCGACTCTGCTCGACGACTGTTTATAAAATAATAACACCTGCACTCATAACTCAGGCCGTTATTTACCAATTTTTGACGTCTAAGAATTTAACGATCATTTTCACCTATCAAAAATTCCTCTACTTTTTTTGTTCGAAAAGGTTTATCTCGGCCAACATTTTATAGACACGCGAGTCAAAGATCTACCTGTTTATGAGCGCTCGTGTTAGAGTTTGTCTTCCACTAAGAACTTGACAGATAGTTTGACACATACTCGAGCCGTTCCGAGTCTCGTTGTTTACATTTTGTGTCGCGCAAGAATTTCACGGTTTACTCGAATTCGAACCTCGTCTGGGAACTCACAATTCTAGTTCGTTGGTTTAGTCAAAAAAGATACTCAATGCCCTAAGGATGCAAGAAACTACTAAACTTATAATCTCTCACGGTTGAAAATTAGTTTAGTCTGGTTTGACATCTGTCAACTTACATTGGAAGAATTATAGATGATGCGCTTTTCAATACAAGGTATTAGAACTATTCAGTGTTACCTGTTCAGGTTAAACACCAATATTTCATTCGTTGTTTAAACCATTTCATTGTAGAACAGCTTCCTCATCTTCATTTATGAATTTATTGCACATATATTATTTTTCATTCAAAACTGTTGTTAAAATTTATAATGTTGTTAAAATATTTTATCTTTAACTGAAAAATTGAATAATACTTCCCTCATCTGTTATGCAATTTAGCTGAGCGGATAAAACATAGTTTATATAAATTTTGTCCGTTCTACAATTACATTAGTGTAAACTATCGATGCAACTACTGTACAGAAAAACATCTCATAATTTTGATAACATTTCTTGCAATACTACTAAAAATAGCCACAATCAGCTAACATGCCAATAAACAAACACAGATAATCAAATATTTTAAAATATAGCCTCATCCACAAATTAGATTCGAACCAGTAAAATATACTTATTTTATTTTATTTACTGGTTAAAGCTGTATATTCGTTTGTGAACAGTTGTCTCTTTAATCCGACAAATTCTTTCGGTAGACTATCTTACAGCATCAGGTTAATGAATTCTTTTATTATATTTTTACATATGCATTTCGAACTGGTTTCATATTTCCAATTCCTCTTCAGTGTTCTTTAAGGATTTTACACATTTCCCTTTATCTTCAGTTAGATTGTTACATTGATACGGCACTTTGTATTCCGTATACTTCTTTTTAACTTTAAAGATTTTGGTGTGTGTTCTTCCCTTAAAAAGCACCTGAAGTAGTTTATGTCATGTTGTAACATTTCCACTTTCTTAGTAAGAACTTCCAACCTGTTTTTCTTATCCATTGTATTCCAATAATATGTTCAATTTACTGGTTAAAGCTGTATATTCGTTTGTGAATGGTTGTCTCTCTAATCCGACAAATTCTTTCGGTAGACTGTCTTACAGCATCAGGTTAATGAATTCTTTTATTATATTTTTACATATGCATTTCGAACTGGTTTCATATTTCCAATTCCTCTTCAGTGTTCTTGTGTAATGTGTAAAATCCTTAAAGAACACTGAAGAGGAATTGGAAATATGAAACCAGTTCGAAATGCATATGTAAAAATATAATAAAAGAATTCATTAACCTGATGCTGTAAGATAGTCTACCGAAAGAATTTGTCGGATTAAAGAGACAACCATTCACATACATATTTTATACTGTATGTTATCATCTTTTTAACAGTATACAAATCATGTTTTAAATTGCAAAATTATATATGAATTTTGAAACATCTAATTTTACCTCTTGAAACAGCTTAGTGTAAAATATTTTAAATTACAATTTACTTTGTCACTTTAAGAAAATGTGTGCTTTATTTAAAAGATTTAAAAATATAAATTTAATACACGTATAATTTATTTAGGCATATGTAGTTTAGATACAGCAAGAACATATTACACGATATTGTATGTGTATTTCAATATCTTTAAATTCTCTTCAGTTTTATCCATATTTTAAGTTAAACTTGAAAATAATTTGTTTATTTGCATCATAAAAATGTGTAAAAAAAAATCCAGTTTTAGGGCAAGTATAAATCATATTTGAACCAGAGTACAGAGAAAAAAAATAAGTCTGCTTATTATCACTTTGAGAGTGCAAAAGCTGGTTAGGTAATATGGAATACTCTTATGTCTGTAGGCTATATGTCGTGAATTTTGAGGCCATGTTTGGCTCTTGGAATGGCCAAACACCATAATCAATGTCATTTTAGTTTTATTTTCATATAAATACATCAAACTGTTTTTAAAGCAATATTTATTGGGCTGCAATTTAAAATAATTGTAGACCTATAAATTCCCACTGTCGCCCATCTGTCTCTTTCCTTAATCTTGAAAACGGAATTATAGAGACGACACCAGATATGGAAACCTTAGGGGGCCCCGATTACCTAGATAAAAACTTTCGATGCAAACCGAAAATCATGTTATTGCAATTCAAAAATTTTCCCCTGCAAGTGTTATAGATGACCAGCACGACTCTCTTGTTAAAGGAAAAGTAAATGTACAGGGACAAACCACTACTAATTTGAGGTAGAGTGCATATATTTTAAGTTAAAGAAATTAAAAGTATGATTAAAAATTGCAGCCTGGCATTGTGACACTGTTTCAATAAATAATTGCTCATTCTGTATATGAGTTTGAAGTCTTTCAAACTCATATACAGAATGAGCAATTATTTATTTTGTCTTTTCAATCATTTTGTATATGAGTTCTCTTCCACGATTACCTGGAATATTCTGGAAATTGAATATACCAAAAATATATACTCCCAATTTTAAAGCCAGCATTGGCTGGCTTAAAAATGTCAACTCAACACCAGAAAACTTCACACTGAAGGAGTAATTGTCCTGCAGCAACACAGTTTCCAACAAAATCAAGGAAAGATTTACAAAATTCATTGAAGCAAAGGATATTCCAATGATGCTGTCTATAACAGAGATGAAAGGAAGAAATTGGAAGATGCCCTAAAACTCACTAGTTTTATTATGGAAATCTGAGCTCCTTGGCTTTAAAGTTAACAGGAGCAAACCATCACATTAGTTTGCAGAATGCCAGCAGTACTTATGCATTGCTAGATACTATTACTAGATAATGGAGAGAATAAAAAATCTGTTTCAAAAATGTTTTTTGCATACCTACCATTTACAAGGTGCAACAAATGAATGAACAAACTCAGAAGTTTTTTTTGGTGAATGGTAAACTATAGACTTTATACTGAGAACTACAAGGACATGAAGGAAGACAGGGAAATTGTTGCTTGATAATGCATCATAACATCCACCAGCTATCTATTAAAAGCAATTGACAATGACTTTGAGATAATGTACTTCCTACCAAATGTCATATTGCCAATTCAAGAAATGAATCAATGCATCATTGAAAAACAGAAGAGTATGTACAGTATAGGAAACAAATTTTTCATCGAAGGATCTAAAACACAGTGTCATTTTGTTATGGACTTTTCAAACAGTAGACAGAAATGACAGGAATAACAACAACTCCAATGTCTAATGTTTGATAAGTCTGTAACAAAGTGACACTATGCTTTAGATCCTTCAATTGATATTAAAACAGAACAAGAAGCTTGAATACCAATAAATTTTACTTTGTTTAACTCTTAGCAGATGATAACAAGGAAAGTGTTGTTGCTTTTTCTTAAAAACTTAAATCAGAAATATTGTTGCTATATGTTAGCTGAAGATCGGATATTTGTTGTATTGGAAGATTGGTTAGTCATTGATGACAGACAATCTGAAAAAAAAAAAAAAATGGAATAAACTGTTCAGATTGTGAAGACTCAGAAGAAACTGCTTAAAATGAAGAGGTCAGTTTATTTATGAAAACAATCCTTGAAACTAGTGAACCTGTGAAAAAATTAAATAAACAAAAAAAAAAATGATGAGTAAGAACAATTCAAATGAGCCCAATGCATATTGAGGCATTTGCTATATGACAGTAACAAAAAGGAAAGACTGACTGCTGTTTGTTAGTATAAATAGCAATCAAAATCAGATCTTACATTCAACTGCATCTCCCCAATGAATCACAGCTCTAGCAGCAAAAAATAAACTTCTGCTTCTGTGCAAAGAGAAATTGGCAATTATTTCTTCCAATAAAGGTAAAGTATTGCTTTATAATATCCACTTGTGATTTTAATTTTATCATCCTGACATAATGCATTCATGTGAAATTTTTCTAGAAAGTATGGTTTGATAGTTTATTATCCAATCATCTCTAGACTCAATAAGTTCAGTTAATCAAAGTTCCATTGTATTATTTTGGATTTTTAAGAGGAAAAAAATTAATTTTATCTATTAAATTTTAATATTGTATTTTTCTTTTTAAATTTTTTGTCTTAAAACTAATGATATATTTTTATTGTAAACTAGGTGTTACCCGCGGATTTTGCAAGCAAACCCTATTTACATTCAATATTTCATCAATCATAGTAATTGTTATTTAACATCTACTGCTGAGAATGATGAGAATTGCTGAGAATCAAACTGTTTTTAATTTGATAAATTTTCTGGAATGTTTACAATCAATCTATAATCAAACCAATATACAAAAAGAGATTCAAATTTAAAACAGTTCAAACATTTAGTTAAAGAATCTAAATATATAAAAAATATTTATAACAATATTTGAAATGTCAATTTAATACCCCTAAGTACTCAATGAAGACTAAATGCAGTTAAAAAACAAAAAAATTGCATCTAAAATAGTACAGCAGAAGCCGTTCTTCAGGTTAAGCCTTAATGCTCTCCTTCTCCCCCCATGGGGAAATTTCAAAAAATCACTTCTTAGTGTGCGTTTTCATGACATACCCTAACTGTGTAACAAACTTCACCTCTAAATTCTGGAACTTTCTAGAAAAAACTGGAGCATACTCATTGAAGCTTCACACATTTTCGAAATTAACCACTTTCAAACCCCATCTCTTTCACACCTTTATAGCTATCGGGACGCAACCACCATAGTGCACGATGGGAGACTTTGGGCTACTACCAAACCCAAACACCATTCATGTGCAATGTGTAGTTTTGGCTGCAGAGTGACATATAGGCATAAACACGTCCATTTATATATATATATATAGATTATTGTATCATGCAATAAATTTGTTAAGTTTTTCTCAAATTCATAGAATGCTTTTTCTGATCTAAGAACTGTTTGATGTCATATATAAATAACATTTTAATACAATTTAACTTGTTTATGTGAATTAGTTATTATAAAAACTTCTTAAGATTGGTTACATCAAAAAAATGAATTCATTAAAATATGTTTATCATAAAATTCAAATAAATTTACTGTAAAATCCAATAAGTACTGTATTTTTCTAATAGTATTATTTTGAAGTTAATGAAGTTAATATTCTAAGTATTCTATCAGTTTATATTCATCAAAATTAGATACAATTGATAAACAGACATCAAATGAAAAAATTCAAATTAGTAGAAGTTAAAAAATAAATTAACTCTTAAAAATGTGCAGTTTTTTAAAATATTATATGTAAACTGATAATTTAAATGTATAGGCAAAACTACAAGTATTTAAATTTTGCCTTTTTTTCTACTCAAATTTAAAATATTACTTATAAATAAGATCACACCTGCAACAATATGTAACTAAGTGTATTTGGCAGCCAGTTCTGATAATTTTTATTTTGAAAAGTTCAAGAACATAATGACAAACACTGAACAACATCAAACCCACGATTTCTGGTAAAACCTAACATTCTTTCCAGATAAAAACAGTTCAGATTACAAAGATATAATTACAGTATTTGTTTCTTTTTTACTTTTGTCAGTTCACTAAAATACATGCAATCTATAATCTTTTTTTGTTTTCTTTTGTAATGATTGTATACCTTTTGATATTTGTCTAACATTACCAGTGTGGAGCTAAATTAACATTCAATGTTACTATAGTTTACACTATACAAACATGAAAAAATTTTTACAGAATAGGACAGAAGCTGACAAATACATTAAGTGAAGTCAAGCGACCCAACTAATGTTTAATGGCCATCATGCAGCATCTGATATTGCAAATATTTTAATATATACTTTTGTTTTTTTTAATCTGTCCTTACTGTGAACACCAATGAGAAAAAACTGTATTGATAATTCCACACTATTTATACTGTATACTTTATCGACTAACTGGCATATGCAATATAGTGCATATACTCAAACTAGCCAATCTTGATACAGTATGTGAAAAATGACAAATGAAAACAAATAAATTGAAAAGTCTCTTCCTATATCACAAAGAAAAGCCAAATGATGGGTCAATCTTGTGACAAAACTGGCAGGTACTCCACAAAGGATTAGAGCTGCTCCCAGCATATTTTGTGGTGAACGTGACATTCCCTGAAAAAAGAAATCTGATATAAGTGAATGAAAATTCTAGATTAATGATTTAACATACTGTATGTACTGTATTTAACATACTGTTATCATCTTTTTAACAGTATACAAATCATGTTTTAAATTGCAAAATTATATATGAATTTTGAAACATGTCTAATTTTACCTCTTGAAACAGCTTAGTGTAAAATATTTTAATTACAATTTACTTTGTTATTTTAAGAAAATGTGTGCTTTGTTTAAAAGATTTAAAGATATAAATTTACTACAAGTATAATTTATTTAGGGTGTTGTTGCTTTTTCTTAAAAACTTAAATCAGAAATATTGTTGCTATATGTTAGCTGAAGATCGGATATTTGTTGTATTGGAAGATTGGCTAGTCATTGATGACAGACAATCTGAAAAAAAAAAAAAATGGAATAAACTGTTCAGATTGTGAAGACTCAGAAGAAACTGCTTAAAATGAAGAGGTCAGTTTATTTATGAAAACAATCCTTGAAACTAGTGAACCTGTGAAAAAATTAAATAAACAAAAAAAAAAATGATGAGTAAGAACAATTCAAATGAGCCCAATGCATATTGAGGCATTTGCTATATGACAGTAACAAAAAGGAAAGACTGACTGCTGTTTGTTAGTATAAATAGCAATCAAAATCAGATCTTACATTCAACTGCATCTCCCCAATGAATCACAGCTCTAGCAGCAAAAAATAAACTTCTGCTTCTGTGCAAAGAGAAATTGGCAATTATTTCTTCCAATAAAGGTAAAGTATTGCTTTATAATATCCACTTGTGATTTTAATTTTATCATCCTGACATAATGCATTCATGTGAAATTTTTCTAGAAAGTATAGTTTGATAGTTTATTATCCAATCATCTATAGNTAACAAAAAGAACTAGCAAACTACACCCTTTCAACTACCTCTCACAGAGGCCATAGGTGTAGTAGCCTAATTACATAAAACTATACTAATAAATTTTACAAACTCCCACTCAATACAGGAGTCTAACCAAAAACTTAAAACTAATGTAAAATTAGTACACCCTTATAAAAACCCTATGCAAAGGGACAAGGGTGCAACCGACAAAAATAATACTTAAAACTAAAAATCCTAACAAATACAAATCACTCAAATATCACATCAATAAAGAAAAACAATATTAACAATTAAAAGTAATAATGTTCACACAAAAGTTAGTTAATTAATCCATTGTTATATTTTAAAACAATATCACTTCTCATATCACCTTCCCCATTCATCATTAAACATATAAAATCCATTATCAAATTTCCATATACTGTTCTCAGTACCTCTATAATATTTATATTTTTCTGTATTATTTAATTTTTCCATGTCACTTTTCAATTTATATTTTGCATCTTCTTTTATTTTTATTATTACATAGGTTGCATTTATCCGTCTTCTATCATACATCAGCTGACATCGTGCCTTCCACAACCATCTCTTTACAAGAGCTATCATCCAATTAATCATGTAAGTACTTTTACCACGAATTTTATAGCCAGTTTGATATTTTATTTTCTCCCAATCAATTATAGTTTTCCAAATATTAGCCAACCATCCCCATACAGACTTTGCAATGGGGCACATAAAAAACAGATGCACAATTGTTTCAGTTTCCCTGCAGTACGAACACTTAGCATCTCTTCCCCAATGATAAGTTATCATATATTGTTTTGTATAAATTATATTCTGCAGGATCCTCCAGGTGGTCTCTCTCCATTCCGGTGGTAAAACAACTACATTATTCCAGGTATCATCCCAATTTCTATTGCTCTCAATCATCCCTTCACTCATATACTGTTTGTGTATAAAACTATACAACCACCCTGGCTTAACCTTGCCATTAATAAAAATATTATTATTATTAGGATTAATTCATTTTGATTTTATGAAATGTGAATGTTTGTTACTTAAATGATATTTTTCAATAAATATTTAGATGCTTTAATAATTAACTCCATGTTAACAACATTCTCATTTAAATTTATATACTTTGAAGAGAGAAAACCATGCAACTTTGAAGCCTGAAATATATTTCTTATAATTTCAAGTAAATGTTTTGTAATTCAATAATTAAAAAGTTTATTTAAATTGACACTGATACACAAAAAAGCATTTTATGTACTTACTCTAGCAACATTTAATAGAAATTATGAATGTTTTCAGCTGCACTGAGAGACCTTCCTCAGATAAAAAGCCATTTTTACCCAAATGCAGCCAAAAACATTTTAAATTTCTATTAAAGGTTGCTGGAGTAAGTGCATAAGATGTTTTTTGTGTGTCAGTATCAATTACATGGTCCAGTCTATTGGTTAACTAAGTTTATTTACTTCCAGTTTTATTTTATTTCTATAGTAACTGATGATGATAAACTATCTTTAAATGAAAAATCAATTTTTTAATTAGCCTAAAAATGTGTAATATTAAAAAAAAATAATGGTTCTAACTTATGTCATTTTTGATCAGTGTGATGATGTGTCAATGATCAATAATGAAATCATTATTGATCATTGACCCAAGACCAAATGTTTACAGTTACATGCAGTAACTGTCCATGTAACTATTCATATACTGTATGGTATACAGTTGAACCTGTCTATCTCAAACATATTTATCGTAAAAACTTCATCTCAAAATTTATTTTTCTCAACATGCATTTCAGCCTAAATTCAATATATTTTCCACATTTATCTCAAATAATTTTCACCCAAAACTTTTATATCTCAAATTATGGACTAAAGTGTCAATTACAATTTCAAAGCCTTGCAACTACATTTTGATAGCATAAATTGTAATTGAGAAACATCTCTTGCAATAGAGTATATAGTTGGAGTTAACACTGCATTTCTCTAATTGACTATAAGTTTGGCTTGTATCTTATTAGTTGAAAAAAGTCAGACATTAGAAACTAATAAAATATTTCTGTTAAGGTGTGTCAAAAATGTTTCATCTATACCTAATACAGGTACAGTACATATATTGTACTTTCTATTGTATTAATAAAATACCATACCTCCAATCAAACTTACTTCAGTTTAACATGTTGGAACCTCTAATCTCAAAACCTGTCTATCTTGAACATTTTTCTCATTCCTGTGAGATTTGAGAGGAAGGTTTAACTGTACAATCGACCCCCCATAACACGGGTTCCTATAGTTTGGATTCCTATATCATGGTAAAAAAAATTGTGACAGTATTCATACAAACATGCTAAAAAAAACTCCTATAATTCGGTAAAATGTCATCGCCGACTCGTGTCGCGACAGGATTGGTTGAATCTAGACCAATAGCGGATATTGCACAAACCGTCAAGTTTAAACAAGCAGCAGACCTACTATAAACCATTTATTATTTAATGTCCATAAAAATTATATTTATATTAATGATGTCTCCAAAGTTCAGTGAATTTTTCGCAAAAAAAAAANTTTTTTTTTTTTTTTTTTTTTTTTTTTTTTTTTTTTTTTTTTTTTTTTTTTTTTTTTTTTTTTTTTTTTTTTTTTTTTTTTTTTTTTTTTTTTTTTTTTTTTTTTTTTTTTTTTTTTTTTTTTTTTTTTTTTTTTTTTTTTTTTTTTTTTTTTTTTTTTTTTTTTTTTTTTTTTTTTTTTTTTTTTTTTTTTTTTTTTTTTTTTTTTTTTTTTTTTTTTTTTTTTTTTTTTTTTTTTTTTTTTTTTTTTTTTTTTTTTTTTTTTTTTTTTTTTTTTTTTTTTTTTTTTTTTTTTTTTTTTTTTTTTTTTTTTTTTTTTTTTTTTTTTTTTTTTTTTTTTTTTTTTTTTTTTTTTTTTTTTTTTTTTTTTTTTTTTTTTTTTTTTTTTTTTTTTTTTTTTTTTTTTTTTTTTTTTTTTTTTTTTTTTTTTTTTTTTTTTTTTTTTTTTTTTTTTTTTTTTTTTTTTTTTTTTTTTTTTTTTTTTTTTTTTTTTTTTTTTTTTTTTTTTTTTTTTTTTTTTTTTTTTTTTTTTTTTTTTTTTTTTTTTTTTTTTTTTTTTTTTTTTTTTTTTTTTTTTTTTTTTTTTTTTTTTTTTTTTTTTTTTTTTTTTTTTTTTTTTTTTTTTTTTTTTTTTTTTTTTTTTTTTTTTTTTTTTTTTTTTTTTTTTTTTTTTTTTTTTTTTTTTTTTTTTTTTTTTTTTTTTTTTTTTTTTTTTTTTTTTTTTTTTTTTTTTTTTTTTTTTTTTTTTTTTTTTTTTTTTTTTTTTTTTTTTTTTTTTTTTTTTTTTTTTTTTTTTTTTTTTTTTTTTTTTTTTTTTTTTTTTTTTTTTTTTTTTTTTTTTTTTTTTTTTTTTTTTTTTTTTTTTTTTTTTTTTTTTTTTTTTTTTTTTTTTTTTTTTTTTTTTTTTTTTTTTTTTTTTTTTTTTTTTTTTTTTTTTTTTTTTTTTTTTTTTTTTTTTTTTTTTTTTTTTTTTTTTTTTTTTTTTTTTTTTTTTTTTTTTTTTTTTTTTTTTTTTTTTTTTTTTTTTTTTTTTTTTTTTTTTTTTTTTTTTTTTTTTTTTTTTTTTTTTTTTTTTTTTTTTTTTTTTTTTTTTTTTTTTTTTTTTTTTTTTTTTTTTTTTTTTTTTTTTTTTTTTTTTTTTTTTTTTTTTTTTTTTTTTTTTTTTTTTTTTTTTTTTTTTTTTTTTTTTTTTTTTTTTTTTTTTTTTTTTTTTTTTTTTTTTTTTTTTTTTTTTTTTTTTTTTTTTTTTTTTTTTTTTTTTTTTTTTTTTTTTTTTTTTTTTTTTTTTTTTTTTTTTTTTTTTTTTTTTTTTTTTTTTTTTTTTTTTTTTTTTTTTTTTTTTTTTTTTTTTTTTTTTTTTTTTTTTTTTTTTTTTTTTTTTTTTTTTTTTGTATTATTACAATTTTAAATTTTAAGTATTCAGTATTCTAACCGTTGAGTTTTCGAACTATTGAAATTTTGTGTGTGTGTTCAAATCTATTTTTTTTTTTTTTTTGAGCTGTTTAGCTCAAAAGTACTAAGGCATTTTTGAATTTTTCTGTCCTCCAAAAGAAAGCAGTGTGAAATTGTTTATAAAGTTTTAACTGTTCAAAAGTTGTCTTTGTAATTATTTAGTGAAGCAGTTCTTTATTTCCTTAAGTTCATATTTTCCCTATTAAACAATACATTTTTACAGCAAATATTTTGCTGGATACAACTAGTTTAATAGTAGTAATAATAATATAAAATATAACATTAATTTAAATCACAAATTCTTGTAAATGTCCTCCATTATCCAAATATCAACATTCACCTGTTTCATCACACTATCCATCAGTAAAGACCCTTTGATCTATATTTGCAATAATTTTGTAATTATTACTTCAAATTCCTATATGATATAATAATTAGATGCTCTTTATATATCCTTTTAGACAATTCTTTTAAAAAAATGTCAATGTAGAATGGAGATTAGGATTTAAAGGATCAAAAGGTAAGTGAAATAGAATGTTCTCCACAACACTTATACAATTTACTAATTATTTAGGATAGTATTTGCCATATTTTCTTTTTAGATGATGCTAACAACAGGAGTTAGATAGTTATTTCTGATTTTAAATCAGATCAAACATTCTAAACAAAAATGAATGTTTCTAGCCTACATCAGTAGATTCTTATATATACTGGAAATCATAATATACAATGTCACAAAATAGAAGTTTTTCACACCTTGACAGACCAAGTCATCAAACACATTCTGCACTAACAATGTACAAAAATAAAGAATTGGAAAGAATTCTATTTCTACACAAAATAATTCCTAGGAAGGTTACAGAAAGTATAATTAATGCACCCTTAATCGTTGCACTAAAGTTAGTAGATTGAAAGCAAAGAACATTTAGATTATTATATTGTCATTGGTAAACTTCTAGTTTCAATTTGAAAACCATGTCTGAAGAATTTCTATTGGTAATATAAATTAGCAGGCATCTGGTGGCCAACTTGGGAACCTGTGCAAGTAGAATAAAGTTGCACTACTTTCATGTCTAAACCATATATAAACATGGCATCAGTAAAGATAAAATCAAAATATCATCAATATTCTTCCCAACAAATTCAAATTTAAAAAAAAAANCATCACACTATCCATCAGTAAAGACCCTTTGATCTATATTTGCAATAATTTTTTAATTATTACTTCAAATTCCTATATGATATAATAATTAGATGCTCTTTATATATCCTTTTAGACAATTCTTTTAAAAAAATGTCAATGTAGAATGGAGATTAGGATTTAAAGGATCAAAAGGTAAGTGAAATAGAATGTTCTCCACAACACTTATACAATTTACTAATTATTTAGGATAGTATTTGCCATATTTTCTTTTTAGATGATGCTAACAACAGGAGTTAGATAGTTATTTCTGATTTTAAATCAGATCAAACATTCTAAACAAAAATGAATGTTTCTAGCCTACATCAGTAGATTCTTATATATACTGGAAATCATAATATACAATGTCACAAAATAGAAGTTTTTCACACCTTGACAGACCAAGTCATCAAACACATTCTGCACTAACAATGTACAAAAATAAAGAATTGGAAAGAATTCTATTTCTACACAAAATAATTCCTAGGAAGGTTACAGAAAGTATAATTAATGCACCCTTAATCGTTGCACTAAAGTTAGTAGATTGAAAGCAAAGAACATTTAGATTATTATATTGTCATTGGTAAACTTCTAGTTTCAATTTGAAAACCATGTCTGAAGAATTTCTATTGGTAATATAAATTAGCAGGCATCTGGTGGCCAACTTGGGAACCTGTGCAAGTAGAATAAAGTTGCACTACTTTCATGTCTAAACCATATATAAACATGGCATCAGTAAAGATAAAATCAAAATATCATCAATATTCTTCCCAACAAATTCAAATTTAAAAAAAAAAATGGAGATAGAGAAAAAGATAATGTCAGGGATAATGGGGTTTTCAAAACATTTTTGCAGAGATGATTTTTAACCAAGAAAATATAATTATTAAAAATAAATTTTTATGATATTTATTAATTTATTTTCTTGTTAACTCATCAACATATACAGAAGAAATACTTGAAGCAGTATGCAATTTCTGCACAAAAAATTTTGCTCATAGGCACAAATAGAAAAAAAAGGTTCCTTTTATTTTTGAAATCTTGATTATCTATTTCTGTTTTAGTGCATTATTTTTTTATATTTGGTGCTTATGAACAAAAATCTTTTGTGGAGAAATTGCATACTGCTTCAAAGTATTATTAATTTATAATTAATAATACCTTGAAGCATTAATTATAAATTAATAATACCTTATTAAACAGACAATATAAATTTCTGCAATTTATTTCTGTAAAATAATTAAAAAATTGACTATAAGTTACTTATAGTCAAGTTACTGAATAAAGCAAAATTATGTGTCTACAAATAAACACAAATTTGTATGTACAATACATATGCCACAAGGAACTATTTTGTAACACTAGATGCTTTCACCTATAAAGTTTTTCAATTGCCAATACATGTATAATGTTAGAAGAGTACCTAATGTGATACAAATCTTGAGAGAGAAAGCCAAAGATGTAGATAAAGTGAGAATATCTATGATAAAGCTAGTCAAAGATGCAGGTAGTTTTTATTACTTCACTATCACAATGGGCTTTAGAATAAACAGTTTGATTAATATGAAATATTTCTATTTTAATAAGAAAATCAAGGGCTACATTTTCAAATTACATTTTCAGAAAATAATGCTGTTGCATGTAAACAAAACAAAACACTGCATGACTAAGCTACAGACATTATTTTAAATGTATATAATTAGTTTAGTTGTTAAAATTCACTTAACAATGATGAAAAGAATAAAAGCCTACTAGCATTATAAATGATCAAATCATGTTTATTAATCATCAATAAAACTGATAAACCATTCATCAAAACTGATTTTGAAGTGTTTTTCATTAAACAGACCATAAATGTATTAATAATAATGCTAATAAATAAACTTGAAAATAAGTAAATAGAAAAATATTTTAATGTAAATATCATCTGCAGTATGCTTAATGTTTAAAGAACTAATTGATTAAGGCAAGTTTAGAGTGGCAACACTGCTGGTATGACCTTTGGCAGGAATGATTATTGAAGTATAAATAAGTGGTAAATAAAGTAATTAATTACTGTATCATCATCAGTGTTGAATTTGCAACATTAAACATGACTGAAGATTTGATCCAGGCAATAAAGTTATCTGACTATCATTATATAGAAAAGGTGGAATCACTAGAAATTTATCAGATTTCATGATACAAGTTTAAATATAAATATCTCAAAACCAAATTCATTAGTAAAAAGTCAAACCAATCTTATAAAGCAGTTGGTTTAGACTTACACAAGTTTAAGTAGGAATGTAATAAAAATTAGATGTGGATTGATGGAAAAAAATACCAAACTAAAGGTGAGGCATACTTATATATGTCTTTGGTAATTTCTGAAAAAGTTGTAATGGTAGATGAATATATGATGCATAAAGAATTTTTCATAATTTTCAAACTATTAATGGGTTTAAATAAAGGAAAAACTGTTGGAAAAAAATAGATTATTCACAGGAAAATATGATAATATATTTTTTAAAATTTCTAATGTTAATAAATTTTTTATGATAACTGCAGCATATCAAGAATAGTTGTGAAACTCTTTCAATTCTAAAATTTCACACATATTTAAAATATTTACAGTAATAAAAATATAAATTAAAAAAACTTACATGGGGAAGGAAAAAAAAACTGTTGCTTAATGACAACAATATTCGAATAAAAACTGCAACTATCATCATTATCAAAGGTCGAACACTTGCTAAGCTTAACGATGAGAGTTGCAATGTTTCCATCATCATCTGTGTGCAACTACTTCTTCGACATGCATCTGCTTTGGTCCTTCCATATGAACGACTTTCTGCATCAGATACCTTTTTAGGGAATGCATAGGCATGATGAGAAGGACCAAAACGTTTTCTTGTTGTACCATTTGCTGCCATACTTTCAGAATAACTAGTAAAAGTTGAAGATTTACTCCTTTCAGGAAAAGTTGGAAATGATGTTTGCTCACTAGTAGTGGTGTCTTTTATTTCACTTCTTCTCTTTGATATTTCACAATGAACAGAATGTACATTTTTGTCACTATTAACATTAACAGGTACAGTTTTTTCAATCTCACTTGTTTGTTTACTAACTGAATATTGGAGAGAAATATTAGGAATTGTATGATTTTCTTTAGGTGAGCACTGATCCTTTAAATGAGCTTCTTCTTGACAAATATTTGTCTTGCTTTTATCTAAGTAAGAAAATTTAAGTTAAATCAGCTATTCAAGAATTTAAGTAGCTTTTATTAACAACACTTAAAATTATTAATATTCATAATAAAAACTAATAATAAAAATTACACAATTCATTTTATGACTTATTTGATATAAACTAATTAAAATCAATATGTCTAACATCTGAATAATTACATCATTTGAGTAATAGATTATACTGTTAATAAAATATAAATACTGTATTACCTATTTCTTGAAATTTACTTCATGAGATATTTACTACATACATTCTATAAAATAGAAGTCTTAGTAAAAAATATAAACAAGTTTATCAGATACTACTAATATGTTAATTGTAAAGTTATTCAAAGATCATAAACAAGAAATTACAAGTGAATAAAAAGTAGAGAAAATGTTTTTAAATGATTATGAAAAATAGTTTGTTTGTTAAGTTATGGCAATGCAACACTTGGGCAATCTACCAAGGGGGGATATCTTCCAGGAAGTCTTTTCAAGGGAAACTGGCCCCTATTTAGGCATTACAGACGTAGAGAAAACCCATAAATCTCCACGCAGCCAGCCCATCTGAGTGAGGTGCAAACCCACAACTGAACTCCCGGTGTTCAGGGTACAGAAACCACTTCGCCACTGGTGAGCACTTGAAAAATAGTAAATTAACAAAACACAAATTCAACAAAATTGAATTCTCTATAATATTTAAGCTTTAATATATATCTTCAAGAACTCAACTAAAAAGCAAACATTCTATATACATATAAACATCTCAATAACTATGTATTATTAATCATCCAACAATCAGCCAAACTAATTGGGCAATACTATGCTATAATTAGGAATTATTGGGTTGTTCGGAAAGTAATTTTGTTCTTTTCCGTAAAAAAAAACACAATATTTTTATAATAAATAAATATTTTATTGAATTATATATCAACCATTTTGGTCAATTACCTGTTGTCATCGTTTCTAGTAGTAGCATGATTTCGCATTCATAAAAGTTTTGATCATTGCTTACAAAAAACTGATCCAAGTGATTTTTGACATTGCATTTCAAGTAAATGTCTTACAGTTAAAAAAAATTTGTATAGACCGGAACAAGTAATAATCTGAGTGTGCTCGATCTGGCCAATATGGTTACTGTGATAGCATGTCCCATCTAAGTTATAACAGTTTCTGATGAGTTAGCAAACTTGTGTGATATTTGACATTATCGTGGTAAAACACTACACCTGTTTTGTTGATCAATTCTGGCTGCCTTTTCTGTTTGATGATATTACTCAATTTGTTTATTTGATGGCAGTACACTTTCAAATCAATTGTTAAATTGTGTGGTAAAAGCTCAAAAAAAAAATTCCTTAAAATCCCACCAATGACAGCATCTCTTTTTAAGAACATGTGGAACCCATAAATCAAGCTTTGAAACGAAACCAATTTGTTTCAAGTAATCATAAACAGTTCAATTTGACAAATTTAATCTCTTAGTGATTTCACGTGTTGTTATTNATAAAAAAATAATTTTTAATGATACAATAGTCTTTGTTAGGCTTAACATCGACGAAAATTCAATGCGAAGCGACACGCAACGGAGAAAAATTTTAACATCGGATACGTTAAACTATTTTTTCATACATAAATCGGTTAATCAAGTAACGAACACCTTATTCTTTGCCAAGGGAGTTTATTAAAAACTAACGTTTTCGATCTACTCCATAGATCATCCTCAGGTTGAAACATTCAAATTTGGAATAACAAAAAATAGAACACCAAATTCAAATTCAAAGAGATAAATATCGACAACGTAGCAACTAATTAAAATAAAAATTAAAGCATTTTACATTTATATATTTTTACGCTTTAATTTTTATTTTAATTAGTTACTAAGTTGTTGGTATTTATCTCTTTGAATTTGGTGTTCTATTTTTTGTTATTCCAAATTCGAATGTTTCAACCTGAGGATAATCTATGGAGTAGATCGAAAACGTTAGATTTTAATAAACTCCCTTGGCAACGAATAAGGTGTTTGTTACTTGATTCAATCAGTACCTTTATTTCGTTTTCATTGGCTTCAACTGGCCATCCAGAACGTGGTGCATCTTCAATATGAAATTGCCAGAACGAAATTTTCTAAACCAGTTTTGGCACTGTCGTTCTGTCAATACATCTTCTCCATACATGTCACACAATTTTTTTCTCGCTTGAACAGCATTCTTACCCTTTTGGTAATAAAAGAGCAAAATATGCCAAAAATGCTGCTTTCGATCTTCCATATTTGATGGGACACAAAAAATAAACAATTACACAAAATCAAACAAAAATTTTTACAAATAAGCCTTAAAATGCTAGCTGTCAAAATATATAATGATAATACGGTTTAGAATGAAAATGATGGGAAAAATACAACTAATCTGTCCAATGGTAAAAAAAATAAAATTACTTTCCAAACAACTCAATATTATCATCATCATAAGAATTTTCCATTCTATTCTCCACTATTCAAGTAGCAATGCCAACTTGGCATTGTTATTTTGTTAACAGAAAAGTTTAATAAGCAAGGACCATGACTGTTCACCTATCAAAGAAAAATTAAGAATGTTTTGTTACTACCATATTTTGCAGATTTTCTGACATGTCAGTCTATCTAGGAGAGACCATGAAATCAGATATTTCTGTATGGTAAAAACTGGAATGCTGGTTTATCTCAGGGGAATGCCAGCAAGCTGGTTTATGTGAGGTTATATATCCTTCTCCACAGGGTGCACAAAAAATGAAACGAGTTACATTGTGTGATATCTCACAGATGTCAGTTTTTATTCAAAAATTGTGAAACTGTTGGCATTACATCAAAAACTATGATTATATGTTTAATTTCTGCATTTTGCACAGCTGTGGAGTTGGAGTCATGGAGTTTTGGTGTTTCAGTTGGAGTTGCCAAAAATCCACCAACTCCAACTCCTCTTTACTTTCTCAACTTGTTATATATACAAAATGGAAAGGTACTGGACTGTGTAAAATTTTTTTACAAATCTACACATTTGGAGACCTCCTGAACCCAAAAAGTGTCAATTAAAGAAAGAGAAATTTGTGCGCACATGTGTGTTGGTGTCTAATTTGTTTAGTTTCTTTATTCTTTGTTCTGAGATATTAAACAATATTTCAGAATGGGTAAAGTTTAAGAAATGAAATTTGGTACAGTAGCTTATGTATAAAGGGACATTAATGCTATTAAAGTTTGCTTCTTAATTAAAGGTTGACAGGGTGGAAACATAGAAGGAATCATATGTGTATCTCCAGTGTGGTCAGACAATGAATATTTTACTCGTTATTAGCATTCACAACTTTTTTTTAAATAAAACTTGTCTCTACCTCAATATTAAGCTTGAGTTTTAATGAACACAGACAGAAAAGTAAATCTTACAAAATTTAAAGATGATTTTTACAATGCATTTTTAATGATCATTCTTCAAATTTGGATGTTAAAAACAGCAATATAGTAGACCCCCCTGTAAAACGAGTTTGTATAATACAGATTCGTATATAACGGCAAAAAAATTGTGATTGTATTCATATAAACACGCTAAAACAGACTCATATAATACAGTAAAATATCATTGCTGACTCATGTCGTGACAGGATTGGTCAAATCTAGACCAATAGTGGATATTGCACAAACCGTTGAGTTTAAATGAGCAGCGGACCTACTAAAAACCAATTATTATTTAACGGCCATAAAAATTATATTTATATTAATGATGTCTCCAAGGTTCAGCAAATTTTTCACAGAAAAATAACTTATCAGAAAACACACGCTCGCCGTTTGATGTGCCACTCCGCGACGAAAACAAGCTTAAGCAATGGTGTTGTCAAATGGTGCACACTCGGTAAGTAATCTTACAATGTTTTGTTTATAGCATAGTTTATATAGATTATTCCCAAAAAAATTATATGTGTTTTGGAAATTTTGAGTCAAATAAGTCTAGAATCTTAATTTTATGGAAGAAAACATTTCAAACAGCTGTAGTCCCTAAACTGCATACATGCCGGGCTGTGATTGGCTCATGTATTTAAGTGATCATAAAATTCGAACACACACAAAATGGAATGTATCTACTGTATTATAGGGGGAGGGTCTACTGTACTACACTATCCAGACGTTATCTAAGATACAGCATTGACTGTCACAGCATTACCACCAACCCAAGTTTCAGTAGGGCATTTATTTTCTGCTTTAAAATTATAAAATTTGATTTAAGAGCTTCCTTCCACAAATGCTGACTTAATAGATGTGATTCTTTTTTTTTTAAAGAATTAAGTCAGTTTATAAACAGATGAAAAATAATAAATTAATCAAAATAAGCAACCTTTTTCTTTATCAGTCTAAATGTTATATTTCTTATCCTTGATTTAGTTTAATGTATGTGCATACTTATATATTACGTAATATACTCATATATTATGTTCATTTTTATTAAACTAATTTGTTTGTGTACAAATGTATTTACTGTTTTTATTTATACATGCTTACCAAATACCACTGCCATCATCAAACAAGTCAATAAATATGAATTTATATATTAAGCGGATGTGTCAAATTTTAATGTTTAATTAATTTTTTAAAATCATTTTTATTTTGTATTTTTTTTTTTAAATAATCAGAATCATGTTTGTCATTACTTTCCTGACTGTTATACAGCATAGGCCTATAACAAAGGAAAGATGCCAATCAGTCCCATTCCAGATTTTTACTCTTTTGGACTCTGAAAGCCTTAAAACATAGAGAAGAGCAAAAACATTTGGGGTTTTTCTATATGCACAGATTTTAGGATGTGTGGGGGGCACAATTTAGTTCAACCATTTTGAAGCTTAGTAACTCCTATGCAAAACCATCCAACTCCGATTAAAAACCACACATCCTAAAGTTAGTAAGCTTAAAATAGAGTGAACCAAATCATGCCCCCCACACAATCTAACATCTTGTTCTTGTTCTACAGTTAAGAAGGACTATCCTTTTAGCTAGGACTTTGCCCTGTAAGAATATGAAAGAAGAGTTTAGGAGAGTTGATGATTAGGAGGAAGAGGAAATAAAGATAGATAGGACAGTGTGAAATAAGAGATAGCCCAGAGCCCTTCCATGGGAACCCATGAGCGCCGCCTTGCATTTATTAAAATCAGAAAACAATTAGATTTGAACGTATGTACATATATCCAACGTTAACAGTGTTTTACTCCATCGTTGGAAGAGCCACTCGGTGGATCGAGAGCCTTACTCTCCTTAATAAATTTGATGATGGCTTTCATCAAATTTTTGTTGTCGATGAAATTGTGCTCACCGGGAGGCCAATTGAAACCTTCCCTGAGACAAGTCCCCATCAGTTTTAGTCTTTGGTCTCTGTATTTGGTGCAATCGTAGATCAGATGTTCTACAGTGTCTTCAGAATTTATGTCGACATCGCACTTGTTGGAGTTCTTCTTCCTGAAGCGTTCTAAGTAGGCATTGAATGCCCCGTGTCCACTGAGACATTGTGTGAGTTCGTAGCTTGGGTAGAAACTTTTGTTTTTTGTCTTCTTTCGATTGAAGGAATAAATTTGTAGCACTGTCTTCTGGTGTTTGACTTGTCCCATTCCCCTTGCCATAGGATCCTGATTTCTTGTCTTATATAGCGGTACACATGATTAACTGGGAAACGAGTGTATGTAATGTTTGAGTTTGTCCTTGCTTTATTCGCCAATTTGTCAGCAAGTTTGTTGCCCCTATAACCACTGTGACTTGGTATCCATTGGAACAAGATTTCAAATTGCTGTCCAAGGTCATGGGCAAGAGCAATTAGATCCACTGCGAGTGCCGAGCTGTTTTTGATTGTTTTAAGAATATATAAGGCAACCTTGCTGTCTGTGAAAATGGTTATCTTTTTTGGCATTGTCAAATTTAGTTGTTTTATGTATGAGATGGCCTTATAGATCACCCATAACTCGGCTTGGGTTATGGTGCATTCATTTGTCAGCCTGAAAGCTGCCTGATACATTGTCTTATTTCCTTTTTTGATTATGAGTCCAGATCCTACTCCCTGGTTGTCCTTTGATCCGTCTGTGTATATTGTTATTAGCTGCTCGTTTTCTTGATTTGTGGTATTATCGTATTCCAACAGGACTTTGTATGGGCACCTCATCCTGGGGTCGATCTGTAAATCCTTGTTTTTTAATTTATGGTCTATACTTTGAATGAAACGAGAGATGTCCTTTGTATTGTCTGGTGGCAGGTTGCCCCTTTTCTGTAGTTGTTCTATATCAGACTCCGATATATCAGCGAAATTCTTATTAAAAAGCGTCCACTCCCAGGTTATCTGTTTTCCTTTTAGATGTATAGGCGTAAGGTTTGAAATGACTAATAGGGCATCTGTTGGCGATGTTCGATATGCTCTACAAATCCTAATCGCTGATTTCCTCTGAATTGATAATAGCTTTCTTTTTACGTGAACTCTATCTAGAGCTGCATTCCAGANTAGTTGTTCTATATCAGACTCCGATATATCAGCGAAATTCTTATTAAAAAGCGTCCACTCCCAGATTATCTGTTTTCCTTTTAGATGTATAGGCGTAAGGTTTGAAATGACTAATAGGGCATCTGTTGGCGATGTTCGATATGCTCTACAAATCCTAATCGCTGATTTCCTCTGAATTGATAATAGCTTTCTTTTTACGTGAACTCTATCTAGAGCTGCATTCCAGATCTGAACTCCATAGAGCACTGCAGGTTCTATAGCCTGTAAGTAAATTGTTTTGGTATGCTTCGGGTGAAGACCCCAAGTATTCCTAGTTATGCTGCTTAGCTGGTTGGATCTTTCTGTGGCTTTGTTGCAGACATAGTTGATGTGATGCTGCCAATTTAGGGTCCTATTGAACACGATGCCCAGGTATTTCATTTGTTGCACATTCTTTATCCCTTTCCCATGTATTTTCACTCCAATTGCTCTTTTCAATTGACTTCTTTTATTCTTTCTGGTTATTACGATAGCCTCGCATTTCTCGTAGTTTATTGGTAATCTGTGTTTGTTGCTCCATGTCCAAATTTTAGTCAGTGTGTTATTTGCAATTTCTGCCACCCGATCGCAATTTTTGTGTGCGACCATAATCAGAGTGTCGTCTGCGTATGCCTGTATTCTTAATTCCTCCGTGTCCTCTTGTTGCTCTAGGAGTTCGTCCAAGACCAAATTCCAAACACCTGGTCCACATCTGGACCCTTGCGGGCACCCTCTTGTTACTTCTACTTCCACTTTGATGTTGTTGGTATAAAAGCCTGCCGTTCTTTTAGATAAATAATTTTTCATTAGGTTTGTTATGTTGCTTGGACATTTTGTTTTTATTAGCCGGTTTATTACACTCGTCCACCATAAATTATCAAAAGCCTTTCTGAAATCAATCCTAATGAGCATGATTTGTCAACCTTGTTCCCATGATTTATGTATAAAGTCTGTAACTTTTAAGATTGCATGAATTGTTGAAGTCCCAGGTTTAAACCCGTATTGTTTGTAGATGCTTTTCTTGGTCGTATTTAGGTGCCAATTAATTCTTTTAATGATAAACCTGTCCAGCATCTTCCCCAAGACTGGGAGAAGGCTAATTGGGCGGAAGTCTTCAGGTTTGCTGGCATTCTGTGTTTTTGGAATCAATTTGATATTTGCTTTTTTCCATGCAACTGGAAAGAATCCTGTCCTCAGACATTCGTTGTATAGGTGTACAATTGTCCACACATACAGAAAAAACCCAGAATCTTTTGCATATCTTGACATTTCAAGGAGTCCTGAGTCCAAAAATGTAAAAATTTGGGAAGGGGGTCATTTTTAACCAATTGCTACACTTTCTCTCTGTTATATATAACAGCCAGAAAAGTAAAAATTATTAAATACATATTTATATATTGAATATGTCATTACTTATAGGAGTCTTTTGGCTTTAGAATAAAAAATTTCTACATTCTATCTTTATTAAAGCTATTTATTGAAGCGTTTATTCTGAGCTCACATGGTGACATCAGAATTCCTGTGCCTATTTTGTTAATAAGTCTACCTCTGATCAGAGTTGGAGTCAGATGAAAGTTGGGAGTCGGTAGATTTTTACATAACTCCACAGCCCTGGAATTTTGTCTACTTTCTAACAATATAATGTTAATTGTTGATACTGTTCCTTTTGTATTGGTTTTTATTCTGGAGTCATATGAGCAATTCTTGGTTGTATTGGTTGTAGGCTGTGGCTTATATATGAAAAAGTCAGCATTCTTTCATAATTTTCCCTTTTGCAGCTTATACATGAGAGCAGCCTATAGCCAAGATTTTAGGGTATTTTAGTTGATGTTAAATATAATATTAACACTAATGATTTTATAAATAATGTTACCAGAGACAATATCAATGATGAAAAGACTACAAATTGCTGCAAATTGTTTTAAAAATAACAAAATATAATATAGTTCATTATAAAATTCTCCAGGATGACTTCCTTATATAAGCAGTCTATTTAATTTCTGATTAAAAAAAATTAATGCAGATTTTAAATTTTACAGTTCAATAAACCAATAAATTAGTTTCTATTTTTTTTGTAATACCTATAAAAAGTTTGATAACAATTTCATCTAACTAATTATAAGATAACATTATGTTAAATAAATATAACATAATTGTTTTTATCAAAATACCAAAGAATTTGCATCACATCATATGATAATTATTATTATAATAATTAAACATTAAAACTTAATAAATTCAAAAATTAAAAATACACATAGAAAGATTAAAAATCTCATTAATGTTTAAAATTAGCAATTAAATTACAAATTCCACTTCATCCAAATTAATCTGCAAAACACTACTAAAGCTTTGTAGAAATTTATTGATTTTTTAATAGAAAATATTTTTGGAACATTTTATCAATCTATTTTTAGTTACATCTCAAATTTTCAGTTCCAGCTAGTTTGATTTTCACATAACTAAAGATAGAATGATAAGATATTCTAGAAATATTTTCTATATGAAATGTGATCAATCAATTTATATAAAATGTTTTAACAATACTTTATTGATAAAGTAAAAAATATTTTTGAAAATTACTATTTAGTCACAAATGTATAATTTGAATATTCACTTTGTATTAATTTGAAGAAATTATATAGTCAGTTTTATACATTTATATAAAAATGGACGTGTTTGTGCCTATACGTCACTATGCAGCCAAAACTACACATCGCACATGAATGGTGTTTGGTTTTGGTAGTAGCCCCAAGTCTCCCATCGTGCACTATGGTGGTTGCGTCCTGATAGCTATAAGGGTGAGAGAGAGATGGGGTTTGAAAGTGGTTGACTTCGAAAATGTGTAACGCTTCAATTAGAATGTTCCAGAATTTAGGGGTGAAATTTGGTACACAGTTGGGGTACGCCATGAAAACGCACACAAAGAAGTGATTTTTCGAAATTCCTCCGCGGGGGGAAAGAGAGAGCATTAAGGCTTAACCTGAAGAACGGCTTCTACTGTACTATTTTAAATGCAATTTATTTCTTTTTAATTACATTTAGTCTTCATTGGGTACTTAGGAGTATTAAATTGACAACATTTCAGACATTGTTATAAATATTTTTTAAACAAATGTTCGAATCGTTTTAAATTTGAATTTCTTTTTGCATATTGGCTCGATTATAGATCGATTGTAAACGTTCCAGAAAATTTATCAAATTAAAACAGTTCATTTGATTCTCAGCAGTAGATGTTAAATAACAATTACTATGGTTGTTGAAATATTGAATGTAAATAGGGTTTGCTTGCAAAATCCGCACGAGCGAAACCACGAGTAACAGCTAGTGTATATATATAATGCTTGTTCTATGTAAATCTACATTATCTCAAAATGTGAGGATTTTCTAATTAATTTCTGATAGTAGTTTATATTATATTTTTGACTCAATTCAAGATGAAAATCTGAAACTTAGCACCAAATTTAATGAAAAATAAAAGTAGGTGCAGATAAATAAGCTGGATAATGAAATAGTCCAAAAACATTTCTTTAATATCAAAAAGATTTTTGTTAGCTTAATTTAGCAATTCTTTTATTTTTTTTTTTCAATTAAAGATGATGTTACATGTCAATTTGTAATTTTGAAAAGGTACAGAGAGCCAAATGACTGAACAAAAATTCAGTAAAGATTGAAAATTTTACAATTTTCACTTTCACTTTATTAAGACAAAAATTATGAAATTATGCATCCACATTTGAAAACAAGTTGACTATAGTATACATCAACAGTTTCAAAAGAATTTTTGCATGAGCATAACTATCTTAGTACAAACTGGTTATACAGTAAGACCTCGCTTAACGCTGATTCAATATAACGTGGTCTGCTTGAAGCCTAAAAAAACACTCAAAATTTATGCTGATTCAAATTATTGCAGCATTTCATTGATTCGTATATAATACAATTATTCCCAAAACATGAACCAATCAGCAAAAGATGGCAATTCATCATAGCATTGTACTTCCCTTAAATGTTGTTTGTTTTATGCAATTTTGGAAAAAATATATCATCATGGATGACATAGGATATGTCGACTTTGCTTGGCAAGAATTAACTGATAAATGCATGAACAGTGTGTGAAGAAGTTATGACTAAAGGTATCCAAGAATTCTCAATGAGAAGAGTCTATCACTGTTTCGATTAGGTTGACTAAATTGTCAATCTAATCGATACAGGAGAACTAGGAGATGTAGACGAGCAGGATATTGAGGAGTTACTGCAGGTTTTTGGTGAAAGCCTTACCAATAACAACCTTCAAGAACTGGCAGAATAAGGAATCCATGTGGAACTGGAAAATAGAGATTCTAAAAACAAAGTACCCAAAGAATTTCTCTACAGATTTCCTTAGTAAAAGTTTGATAACAATAACCGAAATCATTGATCAAATTGTAGTGAATGATCCAGATTTTGAAAGGAGTGCAAGACAAGGCGTTTTGGATGCGATCTTTTGTCACCGACATTTGCTTAAGAAAAGAAAAAGAAAGCAACAAATGAAACTACATTACTTATCACAAAAAACAAGAATTTCAGAAGAGCCAGGACCTTCATCACAAAAAATGAACTTTAAATTTCTGTGTGCATATGTTTGTTTTTTTTAACACACAATTTTATGCAAATCAAAACAAAAATTTGCTTATTTTTATTCGCATGTTCCCCTTTTCCTATTTACTCTATGTTAAAATGACCTTGTTTAATGCTGTTTTGCTTAGTACTTTGTCGTCTAGGAATGCATCCCTCGCGTTAAGCGGGGTCTTACTGTATATAGCTATTAGAAAACTACACAATTCAACATTAATATTTTATATAAAAGACATTCAATACTAAAAAAAAAATTTTGATGCAAGTGATGAAAAATACAATGTGAGGATATTATGAACTTATAAAATTTTATATCTAAAATATGTTAACATTTTATTTAGTTTTATTATTGATCTTAAAATAACTTTTCGCTAATGTTTAGTTGATTAACACTTGAAGACAGAATAAGATACAATTTTAAAATATTTGCTAATGAAGATTTCATATGAGATATAAGTAGTTTTCATATAACTTTTGAAATGCAAATACTTTAAGTATGACTAATTTAGGAGTAAAACCAAATAAATCTATGTCTTTTTCTAAAGTTTCTCTTGTTTTTTCTATTAAAAATTTTTATTAAAGTTAATTCATATCTTTTTAAACTGAAAGTCATGAAAAAACAAACATGGATCATAATTTTGTTATCAAATAGTTTTGTATTTGGCAACATAAAAATGGTATTTTTTATTTTTTTTGCAATTTTATATATTTTGGTAAGCAAATATTATAAATACTGTAAATAAGAGATGTGGAAACTCATAAAAATTTCAATCTCTGTTTTATTACAATGATTTTGTTAACTATCATACTATATATAATATATAGCATGATAAAGTATTCCAACTGATTATTTCAAAAATGAATAGTGAGCCATTGTAAATCTTTTCTCAACATATACAAAGTCAATCCTGTATTAAACAAAGTGTCATCATCATCATAATCATCATCATCATCCCTCTCCCCCTTAGGTTGTGAGAGACAGAAGCTATAATGGAAATACTGTAGGTCATCAATGTTAATTACAGAGTTATAGAGAATGACAAAATATGCTATTTTAGCATTTCTTTCACTCTGAAATGGCATATAGGTCCCGGAATAGTTATAAAAAAAATGGTGCTCACATCATCACTGCATAAGAAGAATGCAATGTAGAAGGGACTGAATGCAAAACTTGTATAGCCAACTGATCCAGTCAAATATAAATACTAAAAAACTGTTGATGTGTATGTTTCTTTAAGTTTAACATACCTAAAATGCCTGCAAATGGCTACTTCTACTATCATAATAAATGACATATTGATACTTCTATAGAATTCTGTACTTTCAAAGTGATAGGCTATATTGTTACAGGAAGTCATTTTTGAGTAGTGGTANATGGGGAAAAATTATTCACCTTATGACATTTTCATGATACGACGTGAATTTTGGAACAGATTAATTTCGTATCCTGAGGTACCACTGTGTTTTTTTTTTATTTGAATTTTTTGGCAAAAAATTCTAAATGAAAAAACATATAATATACATGATGTTGTGTGGCTCAGTTTTTACATACAATTTTACACAAAGAAACAGTTACATACAAAAGGTGATACAGGAAATCTTTGTTAGTTTGAAATTCAGGGGACAAAATAATTGAGACTTCTTCAAATTATCTGAGATTTACATATTTCTGTACAATATGCCAAATATCATGTAACTGATGTAATTTATTAAGCAAATGGAATATGGCTATGTATGAAGAATACTAGTCATCTGCTAGTACTAATATACATAAACTGCAGGTAAACAGCACTTGTCTGGTGAAAACCTCATAGGTTGCCAGATAGATTTTATAAAAATTAAAGCAGAATTTCTCAAAATGTAGCCAAAATTATTTTTAAAGTGGCCCAAAAAGTAATAAGCCACTCAAATGAAGCCTTACAAATATCTCAATTTACTATTTGCAGCCCAATCTTGCAATCCTGAAAACCAGCCATATTTTATGAGATGAGAGGAAAAAAAAGGATAGTCCATGTGTAAGGTGACACCTGAAAATATGTTACTACAAAAGCAAAGACAGATTAGTGTTGTTCTTGGTCTGTTGTTCTCTTATGGCATGGAAGTACTTCAATCTAAACAAATGAGTTAACATACGCATATCACAATTCAAACAGAATTTTCACTTCAAAGTAGCCATATTTTGAAGTAACTAAATTCCTTAACATGTAAATCTTTGTATCTCCAGCCAGGACCAAAGTACAGTTATGAACTAATGGGATTTTGAATTATTTGAGTTCTAATTAACAAGGATTTCCTGTATTGGGGCTTCACACTCCCCAAATCTTAGAAGCTTATGCAAATAATCAAGTGAGAGTACATTTAGAAGTTCAAATAACACCACAAGGTTTAACAAGGAAATG